CATACAACTAGAAATATGTACGAGTAACATTAAAAAAGAACTTGACTGTGGCCAAGCAACGAGAAAATTTGGGTGAGTTGTTGATGTATGATGAACCACAGCGCAGCTACGAAGACGAGAACTCTAACGACGGACATGGCGCAGTACTTACAACTATATCTTTGCTTGTTCAGAAACGCGGATATACAGGCAATACAGAAGATGAAAAACAACACAGAAACAACAAAAAAGAGAAAGAAAGAAGAACCGGTGGTAAGTCGGCGAGAAATGAAGCCTATAGGAGGTATTCACTGCACTCTTACCGCCAGGCGGCACCATGCAGCAAGTGCGACGACAACGCCGCCATAGCCATGGCCAGACAGTGATCCGGCGTATGACAGCGTGATATTTTGCGGCGCTGCAACTCGCTAACTCGTTTTCATAGGAAAACTATCACCATAACACGTGCTGCCGAGAACTGTGGTTGTGATACGACGATGATGATCGCACGCGAGACCATAACTCCACAAGTACACTGTACCACGAGAATGGCGACTGCCACGCTGGCGCCCCTAGCGGGATGACGTCACGTGAATACCTCCTGTCGCCAATAACCGCTATCAACACGCGCTCTGTCCAGACAGTTCCTACACTTTCTTGACCAGTGCTGTCAATGCCACGCTTACGCATTGGTCACGCCAGCGGTCAATCGCCGCTGCCTCAATTGGTTCCCGGTTAAGAGAGTCTGAACATTTACCAATTATCCGGCAATTCTCAAACTGCAGCTCCGAGGTAAATGCATAACACTGCATGACAAGGTGTCTGTCCGATTTCTTTTGTAAATTATAGATGTTCCCTGAGCCAGTTGTGTTTGTCGTTCGTATATCGTTTTTGCCTTCGTAGTTCTGCTGTGATTCACCACTGAATTGGTCAAAGAATAGTAAAGATAGTGACAAGATACAAAAGGACACAAGCTACGTCAGCGAGTACAAATGCTACGGGCGAATGGTCAGACTTCAGGTGGAGTAAGGGTGTCACGGGTTATCATGCCATCACATGAAAACTTCGTAGGCGCCTGGAAAATTTAATATACCGAGCTAGCTCCAAATGTGAGCGCTGCTATCATTTCATATCGTCCATGATAACTGCGTACAAATGACCCACCACGATAGATGTTATGGCACTCGACTGCTGTACCGTAGGTCGCGGCATCGAATCCAGGCCACGTCAGCAGCTTTTTCGATGGAGGCGATAATGCTTCAGGCTCGTGTACTTAGATTTAGGAAGTTGTCAAAAAACCCCAGGTCGTTAAAATTTCCGAATCCCTCCACTTTGGCGTCCCTCATTATATTATTGTGGTTTTGGGGCATTATACCTTGACCATTATTACTATCAAGTGCATATCAGTGGTGATAACAGCAGAACCGCATATGCGATTCGTCATTTGCGTGAATGGCATCTGAATAGTTTTACGACAAAAGCATGACCTCCCAAGGTCCCCACGCTTAGTTTATATCGTTTGTATCAATAATACATTCACTTTCCTGGCCCCTACGTTTTTTTATATACAGCACTGATTTTATTGACATTTGGTCAACAGCTGCACGATCGGTGATGAGGATTCTAAACGTAATCGTTTTTACCTTATAGAAGTCACTGCTACAGCAAAGTTCAAGAGTTAACCCAACACACAAGTGTCCCAGTCGGAACCTCTGTTGCTTTTTTTTTGCTTGCCAACTGTTCATAAATTTTTCACTGTGTGCATTTTAACTTGCCAGTAACAGCTGCGCTCTTCAGATATACAGAGGAAAGTGTGACAATACGCAACGCGGGTGAGCATTCATCCTCACGGAGCATTTTTTACTCGCTGGCTTTTGCGACACGCAAGCTGGCTAGCAAGGGTATACGTCCCTAAGTCCTGAATAAATGTCCTCGTTAAACAAGACAAACATCGACTAAATTTAAAAAGAACAAAAATGAAAGGAATGACATGCAGGCTCTCATGCGCAGACATTTTCTTTTCAACACCATTTGCTTCAATTTATGGGTGTCAATGTCCCAAATCGATTCAAGCTGTCAAAGTCACCGAAGTGGCCGAAGTGAAGTGCTTGGCATAATTTGGACCACTTGGGCTCCTTTAACACGCACTGACATCACACAGAGCACAGATCTCTTGCACTTCGCCTCCATCGAAATGCGACCGCCCCTAGCGGAATCGAACCCGCGTCCTTCAGGTCAGCGTCCTAGCCCAGTAACCATTTAGCAACCGTGGTTAGGCCGCCCTATGGTTGACGTATACTTCCCGTTTCTTTGAGCCAGCATTACTTCCTTGTCTAGGCTTACAAGAGTCCTTATAAGATAGCAATTCAAACTATGGGATGCCTAAATCTTCCAGGCGTCAAGAATCACCCAGTGCGTGGTAGCTCTGCATAAAAGGACTAATTTGCAATCATTCCATTCTCTAAGCTCCGGGCCCAACCGAAAGATTGTGTGACTGCCAAAAATGCACACTTGCGAGTGTGAGTGATTATAAATAAGGGCCGTCAGACGTGCTAAAATGGCATTGAGCGCGTGACGCGCCTCTAAAGCTAGGTGCCCCTCTTACTTATCCCTATGAGGATACACATTCTACATCTGGCCAATTAAGAGCTCAGCTTGCGAATAATGGTGACATGATGCATGCCATGATTTCATGTTACCACCAGTCATTTATATTCATGATACAGATATATCTCGCCATAAAAAATTTTGCCATTTATTAATTTAATCTTTAACTTGGCCATCAGATGCCTTTGCTAAATATATGCAGTTATTGTGGTATCCGTATGAAGCGAAAAAAGTGCATAATAGGAAACTCGAAATGTCACTTCAAGACCCTGAACATCAGTGGTGTGAATGACAACATTTTGAGCTTGGTGTGTTTATTTACAAGGTCTTAATGCGTGTGCTATGCTAGCCATGCAAGTGACTGGTAATCCTCTGTTCAACTCCTGCTTAAAATTTACTATTTCAGAAGTTGCCGAGACAATTTTAGACTAACAGTAACTATGAATTTCTTCATTTCGAATAACCTGGCTATAAATGCGAAGATGGCCTAAGAAATCTCCTCGAGGCCACAGTTCTGGTAATTCCTTTTCTTTTCTCATTAAAAAAAGCTAAGTAGTCCCACAGTAGCTTACGTAATCAGCCGATGGGTGCAGCCTAATGTCAAAGGTCAGTCTCTAGGAGTTATACTTTCCAAGATCTATGGCCTACATATCTCGGAAGTTTTAAACTAGCTGTAAAAAATATTAGTATCTGCGTAATTTTTCGGCAATCTGCAATGGGGGCGTACGTTTACCTGTCTCAGCGTGAAAAATGGCTATATTTAAAACATTTTCGCAGCGCGTTCACTTCCATTTCAAGCATAAGATATTCCCAGAGAAAAATTCCCCCACCTCCCCGAAGGGAATCGTGAAGAAATTCGAATGCATTGCGTGGCGTCCATAACAGCATTTCGCACGTGAGGACTCAGCAATATAAGAAGAATAATGTTTTCTGTTTTTACACCAGGCAGCCAATAGCGCCGTTTGCTGTACGTGACGTTTTTCTTTTGCGAGAAACGCAGTATGTCTTTCCAGCTCTAGTGGCTAGCATGCGCGATTAATAAATACTATGAAGTATATAAAACAAACAGCATTCTAGGTGTGGCACTGGCGTTTCACAGTGGTCTCCCGAGCCCACTTTTCCGGATGTTTTTGAAAGGCACCCAGTCAGCAAACGTTCGAGAGTGAGGTGCGAGCGGATGGGAAAGTGGGGCGAAGGGAGGAGAGAGAGCGAACGGCGAGAGAAGAAGCGGCGAAGCACTGCACCTATCCTCTACTACATTCTCTTGCACCACATGCTTCGGTTGCTAGGGGCGAGGATAAGCGCGCGCGCCCGCAGCTGTTGCTAAGGGAGAGGGAGTGAGAGCGGAAAGATCACACTTGCCGGCACGCAGACACCATTGCGGACAACGGCGGATGTCTGACATAGCCTAAGAAATCATTCGCATTTAAAACTGCTCCATGTTCACATTATCCAAAAGTAGGCTGCTTCTATACTCTGGATCTTCACTGTAGCTGGCCTTTCAAGTTACAGTGTCATCCAACGATGCAACTACATTGTCATGTAAGTACCGGTAACATCAAGTTGCGTAGATAAATAGGAAGGAAAACAGCATGCACAGACATTGTCTCTGCTCTTCATAACTTATCCACAACCTGAACAAACATGAACATGACTTCAATGTATCTACAGCCACTCTCACATCAACATGCAGGAAGATGACCAGAACGCATGACATTCCTGTGATTGACTAATGTCAAACAACTGCACACCACGGCATAAAAAAATAAGTGGCTGCTCCAATATCACATAGAAGTGAAAATCACTGAGCGTGTCCGAACACTTGAAATCTCGCATATGAAACAAATAAATATGTGTTAACTTCACAATTCGATTTCATGATGATATTCCGTTATGACAGGAGTCACAAGGATGGCAAAAACACTAGAGTCTAGCACTTATGAAAACACAAGTTGTTTTAGGTATCCATCTTAAACCAAACAGCTGAAACCTTAGAAAACACTCATTTTTATCCTTCTTAGTCTCTACCATTCTGAATCATTCTAAATCAGTTTTTTCCGAAACCAAAATCCCTAATTCCAGCAAACCGAAATAACAGTCATTATGTGACTTTTCCCTAAACATTCATTTTTTAATTCTAAACAATGAGGTATTTGGCATTTTACTCAAAACGCAAAGCACATATGAACTAAAAATAGTCTACTGGACAATGTGTCACAATCAAACATGCTAAAAAAGAAATGACGTGTTGATGACATGATCAGCAAAATGATACAAGTGTACATGACGAATGATGAGATCGTCCCAGCTGCAGCTTGCCCACAAAACACTATGGGCAGAAAGTCGTGGGCAAAAATGTCATACTGTGGATGAACAATGACTCCCGGGGAACAACACCAAAGTGACAAGGATGAGCACATGATGAGCAGTGAGAACGTGTTATGTATAAATTCTCACATAGATAATACTAGGGGTGAAAAGTTCGCAGTCTAAAGGAAATGGCTTTGCAGGGAACGCACGCCCTGAAAACGATGAACTTTGGTTTGTTAGTGTTGCACCATCTAAAATGATAATCGGGGAGGTGCCTTGAGTGGAATTATCTTTACAATGCTTTTCCATATTCCAGACTTAAGCCTTCAAGACCTTGCACAGCCACGAATGGATACGTGCCGCCAACTCATCTGTATAAGAAAAAAGAAATAAATACGGAGGTTAACTCAGCAAAAATAGTCCCATATTGTTCTCAGCATTGCTTTTTACTGAATACTTCTATCTTACATTTCGAGACACTAGGCGAGCACATATAAAATAATTTAGCAGTTCTCAACACCTGACAAGCTCTAAGAGCTTTTGCAGTTGTATTGACGATGTTCTTTTACTAAAACTTGCACCCCACATGTAAAAATGTTCTGTAAATATAAATCCACCTGACACTTCCATAGTAGCACGCATGGTCTCATATTTTCAGAACACATTTTACCAACTCCCTTAACTATATATTGTAGTGCTACATTTGACAAGGAGTGTACAGAGGAGAACATGACAGGATGGGTGCTGTGCTGTCAGCACCCGTACTGTCATGCTTTTCTTTGTACTGTCCTCGACAAATGTAATGCTAGAATAGTTTAATTAAGTATGCATCACTAATTAGCCTTGCAACGTGTTTTCATATATAAGCTTCAGCGAACAACAAACGTTCAAAATAAAAGGGAAAGGCATGTGCAACATTAATGAGAAGGCAACTTACGCTTACACTCAGACCTTACTATAACGAAGTGACATATTACTTGAAAATTGGTACGTTATATCCAAACATTCGTTATAAGAGTACATTCGTAACACTATACCTACTGAAAGACTATTCTTGACTTACTTCATTATAACGGGTATTTCCTTATATCCGGGTTCATTATCTCGAAGTTCTAATGTATAATAACTTTTTTACAGTGTACTGAAAAAGATTCATGAAAGGCATAGCACTACAAACAATGCCAAGAAAAAAAGAAACATGAACTCAGTACCAACTCATCCAACTCCTATTACTTAAAAAAACAAGATCTTTTATCACAACATAAGAATCGTAAGAATCGTAAAGACGAAAAATCAAAGTGTCATGGTGGTGGCACTACCTTGAAGTGCCCGCTAGGCTTTCTGTGAAGTCGAAAACTTGAAGTAGTGCCCAGCCGCAATTCAATTTTGACAACTTAAAGATGAGCATTTTAAACGGCCAAACACTTGCAGTATGAATAGGAAAAATTTCTGCAACTTCTAAGCCGCACTAGCTCACATGGTCACATCAGCCTCCAGAAAGACAAACCCGATTGCTGAAATGCCGGCTCTAGCATCCATCTCCTGTTTATTAATTCTTCATCGCAAAGCTTGCGTCTTCTCATCCTTGCTTTTCTAAAACTTAAAGCACTAAACATTATTTTAAGAAAGTCAGTTAATAAGCAAGAAATATTAAAGGACAGGAGCGTGGCCTTCACTTTTTCTGTGATACGCGTTTAACACGCAGTCAACTCGGAGTTGCCCAAAAACACTTAAATGTTAACTTAATAATTCGCTTTACTTAATGAAAAGTAGAAGAACTTACCCCATATCCTGTTTCCCATTCCGTTCCTACAGGATTTTCTTCTGTGATGCCTTTCCGCCTTGCTAGAACTCGGCTCAGAAGGACTCTTTTGTTTCGTATTACATCTACAACAGCCCATACCTGGTTTACAAGAGAGAAAAAACAAAAGGAACAATAATTTATTACGAGCTACTTCAGAAATATCACGTAGACATCACAGGCTTGTTATAAACTCTTATTATCGACTGTCCCATGGAGCATTACAGATGAAACTGTTGCACCTTGTTACATGTAATACTGCATATTGGTCACGAGCACTAGTTAGTACACTGTGACTGCCATTTACAAAAAAAAAAAATTTTCGCAGGCTAGCTCGTGGACATCTCAAAACCCATTATGTGCTCCATCAAATGTAAATAGCACATGCTGTTCAAGTATATTGAACTGCAACATTCTATACTATATAAAATACATATATATTTAAACACAATCAAATTTGGTACAAATAAACTGCACACATATACTTCCGACATGTCTGATACACACTATAAACGTATAACTCTTACACTCTGACAGTCGTTACACGATCTCTTTATTTGCTCTCCTATGTGAAATAATTGTTCATACCCGGTAGCTTATTATATCTGCCTACATTATACAGAGGTCTCATTCTGTTTGCTGCCAACCGTATTTGTTTCTATACATCAGACACTATTTCTGCGTCTAAAAAATAGCGGTAGGGAAGTCTGTCTGGAAAATGACATATTCGGTTGGATGTACAAATGTAAAGAAGCAAATGTTATAGTACAGGGTGTAGAAAAGCAGTCAAAAGTATAAAATGTAGAACAACACTGAAACACAAGAAAGGACATGAACCCAAGCATTGTTGTCATCGATATCTTGTGTCCCTCTTTGCACTGTGTTATACATTCCACACGGATCCCAGTTCAACCAGCCAATTAGCAAGAGCAATCATAACCAGCACTTTGATGAGCTATTCACCTGGTCCTCTGGGCCTACGGAGACAGCATGGACATTTTCCGACATCAGGGTCCACGTGGTGCCTTCTGGGAAGTCGTCTAGGACCTCAGCACGACGCCACAGCTTGCCCGAACCATCGATAGCACATACGGTGGCATGTCCTGCTGAAATCTTTGTCAGCGTCGTGCTACTTGAAGGAGGCTCAATGTGGAACCACATAGTGCCTGAAAGGTAGAGACGGGAACAAGGAACATTGCTTATTACGCTTTTAATAAAAAGTGGCTGCAGCTACAGTCGGCCACTAAGGTAAACGGAAAGTGGCCAGCGCTTGTACCCTGAAACAAACATACAAACAGGCGACTGCTGCTACCAGTCCAAACATGAATGCCTCCACTAATAAGACCACAATTGTCCTCGATAAGCACACAGAGAGCAGAGGTGGCACCACAAACGAATACCACTACGGAATAAACTAACTTGAAGATTGTCTCCATGGGTGCTTATGTGCACAACGCAGTCAGCAAGCAACAGTTTGCCGCGTTGTTCACGGAAGGAAGCTTCAAGGGGAAAATAACAGACGCGATAAGCAGTAGCTTCGAATGCTCATTGCCACTCGTGGTTGCACCACCTCATACGGAGGAATAGACATTAGAAGGAAATGCCATGCATAATGACAACCGATGGTGTAGTCCCCAAGCGCCCGCATTGAAATCCGTTGACACCCCCACAGATGGCGGAGAGTGTGTATTGTCTTTTTTTGGTACCTGCTAGTCTAAAAACTTCTGTAGAGCTTTCACGACTAAGTTGTCCTGGAAGCCTCTGGCGACCCTCAGGCTACTGGTGCATCGCCAGAGCCGTCCAACCCGAGGAAAACTAACTCCAACTGCAAGTGCATACCGCAGGGGAAGGGGGGAGCAGACCAACCCAAGAAAAACAAGCCCGCTCTGGTTGGCTCTGGCAGCCCGCAAGCAGCCAGAAGTGGAAAATAGAAGAGCCCTATTGAAGCCTTTACCCTACTCCTTGCGCAGCAACCTGAATGTGGTCCTTCAGGGACAACAAGTGATGATGACGATGATACATGAGTGCATGGCTGCTTACCTGTAGGCCGCTCTTTAGTTATGCCATTGCGCATGTAGGCCCAGCCGTCCTGGCCAATCGCCCACACCCGGTGCTGGGCACCGACGCTGATGGACTCAAACTGATGTTCCGCAGCCACGTGCATCCATGCCTTGCCCTGTTTGGCGACAGCGGTAAGCAACTGAAGAATATAACATTTCAAATATTCAAGGACTTTTCTTACATGCCAAAACTATGACCCAGTTATATGAGATAAAAAATTCTTGAACACTTAGTGTTCCAGGAGCCAAAGCTTCACCGAGCTCGCTGGTCAACTCCAAGGCTGCGACTTCAAGGATGCACCATTGAACAAGACACGACCACTTGTCTAAACTCTGGCTTCAGCAGCACTCCATGTTACTTAATTTTGTACCTATTCAAGCTTTCACCTCACCGTGAACTTCAGTCTTTTTTGTGCTCAGTTATAAGTTATGCAGCAAAAATGGTGTATGCCATGGCCCTCACCGATGGCCCCTCTTGAAAAGTTGGGGGAATGAGAAGAGGACCGACTGCATTCTTTAAAAAGTGTTTAGTGTGCCAGAAACACATGAAAATTCACTCAAGTGAGTCGAAACGGCCGCAAATAACCTCTAGAATGTAGCCTACGAATACAGGTGTGATGGATACCAGCTCAAGAACGTGCTTGGCTGTAATATTCTTGCATATAGTGACGCTACTGTAGTAAAATGTGTAAACATAAATTGTAATGTGTCTGTAAGTGTAAAAATAAGTTATACAGTTTGCATGAGGTTCACTTCATTGCTTTTTATTTCAACACAGGCGTCCATCTAACGCAACGAGAAGGGGAGAGGGCACCACCATAGCATGCTGCCTAGCATAATGCAGGATCCCACACATGCGAGGGAAAGGGGCAAAGTGGGGGGGGGGGGGTCCTTTGACTGGCGCTGTGGTTCTTTTTGTGACCTTCGTTTCTGAAGCTAAACTAATGAAAATGCGAACTCTCCCAGCCAAGTATGATTTCCAACAAATTCACTCAAATTTCAGTTCTTGCAAGAAAAACAGAGCGAAAAGTGAAGAAGTCAGAAATGCACTTTCCGGCGAAAAAACACCAGTTATTACTTACGTATTGATGTTGTGCCTCAGATATTTGTAATATTTGCTTTTTGATTGATAATGTTCATGAGTATGAACGCAGCCACTAGACCGAAATGGCTGGGCATTGAGCAGGCTTTTAACTCTTGCCAGGTGGCTGAATCGAATGACAGACAGACAGACCAATATATTTGCATTGAAGATCCGAAAAAAACTCATCGATAAAACCCACCTGCGGGCAGTCTGGTGTCACACCCTTTCGGTAGACCGCCTCTCCAGTTGAAGACACTGCCCACAGGGCAACGCCCTTTTCACCGACATGACCTGGCCCGGACTCGAGCGAAAGTGACACGTCACGAAGGGGCATCGGCTCCACCTCGACCCATGGCCCTGTCGTGTTCAGTCGGCAAAGTCTGCCCGCGTAAATGAAGGCAACAGGAAAAAAAACTTGAGCCAGCTTCGCACTGCGAAAACCTTCGGACAACGAGCTACAACAGCATGTGTGTATGTGCACACTGCCTAGCGACATCATGCGTTGTCGTAAGTCCACCCCTAAACGCGCTCAAACATTTACAGCATTATCATCACTTCATTTTTGTTTATTTTTCGTTCACTCCCCGTCTGGTCACATGATCTGAAGCATGCTTGCTACTACTACTGCTACTACTACTTCCAAGACAAAGACAACATAATGGGGTAGACTAACACAGCTGTGTTGTAAAATTACAACTAGACATGGTACTTTCTTATATATTTCTGTATTCTCTCAGTTATTTAAATCACGATGTCTTCCCTGAGACTTCCACGAAATCTCTCATTCCGTTATTTCCACTAAAGAACCCAGATTATGAGAAATACGGTACAATCGCACATAGGCAACAGCCATTCTCAGCTCTCTGATGGGATGACGCGGTACCCTCTTCACACAAATATCGGTATGAACACAAGCAACAGCATAACTTCAACCAAACATGCACAAGTTCCCGAGTACATCAGTCGGCACATACTTGCCACGCACGACTGCGCCAAGGCGCATTGGTTAGGCTCGACTGGCTCTAGGAAACACATAGGAAAGGCATACCACTGCGCCTATAAAGGGGCTCTACAACGCTTTTAAAAGTGGTCATTAAATCAACACACCCTCGAAGTTTATTGCCTTACGAAACATCTGCTGCAAATGTTTTAAAAGATATGTCGAATAGCAGCGGAGTTGAGGAATTTCTCGCATGTGCTCCAAGAGCTTTCTTTCTCTTTTGGTTTGCGCGAATTCCTTGGAGGATACAGGTGGTTGGAGGGGGAGGGATGCGGAGGAGAGGCAAGAAGGTATATACTGTAGGTCGGTGTGCATTCTAGCCTTGTTGCGTCAGCACACCGTGCATCGCTAATCAACCAGAACCCAAGTCTGGTTCGCTACTGCGTACAATAATCGGTTACCACGCATGTGCCTTGTTATGCTTCCCTTCACCTGCGATCACGGCGTTCCTTCATAAAGGAAAGCAGACCACTTCATGCGGCATTCCTTTGTGCACATGCTTTCAGCAAGAATGCCACATTAAAATGTTACTTTTTCATTCTCACGGCACCTTTATCTTCGGTCTTGAAGCCTATTTGGGCCCAACGCAACAACATAGAGCACTGTCTCTGTTTCCTCGGAACATGCGAAGGCGGCCCACTTGCCTGTGCTGCGGCACAGGCATGTTGCGACTATGTTCCGATCAGTCAATGACCAGTGTCTTTGAGTATGTGAAGCAATTGATTTCAGGATATACGGCTGTCATCTGTCGAGAGAAGAGTGAGCCATTTCTCGCTGACTGAAAATTTGTTGCACATTCCCTGCCGCATGCTGCATAGAATGTTAAACTACCACAATCGCAGGGGCTCGACTACCTATGCGCATTCATTTTCCGACCATATTGAAAATGTTTTGCAGAGCTTTAACTCTGCCGTCCGGCCTCTAATATAAACCCAGCGATTGCACTAGCCAACAAGAACAGCACATCTTTGGGTGATGGACGGCATCAAATCACGATGCCACTTCCTCCGAGTGAGTCACACAAATTTTTTTTTTCTCCGAGTGAGTCACACAATGGATGCCACAAATCAAGAGTTTCAGTGACAGCTCAACTGTAATAAACAAACAGTTCAAGTGTTCACCTGAACCACCGTCGGCGGCGCACGTAGTCGGTTATGCCCTTGGAGCCATGGTAGGAGAAAGGAAAGTCTGGTGCGTACTGCCACCCGTTCTTGTCCACGCCTCCCGATGTGTGGTAGTCCACCTGCCAGTCACTCACCTGCAGAGACAAGCATCTCACTTTAAGCATGTCTATCCTACCAACATTAAAACATTTTCCTTTCAGTTTACACGCTTTGGGTCAACTTCCTCTTTCATGCTTCAGTTGCCTCTCAAGTGTCGATGGCGTCAGGAGGTGAATGAAACAAACAAAAGAAAACTGCCGCCTGCAAGCGAGAAGAAATGTGTACGCTAAAAGGTGCGTCGGTCATATGCGTATTTGTTTGCCTTGGTTTTCCCATAAATGATGCTCTCTCGATCGCGGGCTTGTCGGCGATCAATCGCTTCCAATGTCATTTATGTGAATACAGACTAAACGCCGAGACTACTAAAACGAGACTACTAGTAGTCTCAGTGGAGTGCTGTTTTATTGTGATAGCAATTTGGACACTCTCGGCTGAATTTTGCCGCCGGCGTCGGCGTTGCTGTCACTCACCGTATCTGTATATGTATGCTCACAATATACATATATATATATATATATATATATATATATATATATATATATATATAATGCTCACAATATATATATATGAAAACGCAACAAAGAAAAGCGTTTTAGAAAACGACTCTGGCGCGCGGAATCGAACGTGGGACCTAGGAGTCCTGAATGCGAGGCGGCGTTAACCACCGAGCCTCAAAAAAGCACCTCCTTCATTGTTGAAACAGCAAGCTATTTATATCTACCACTTACCGCTGGTGATGAGCATCTCGGGAAGGGGGGGGGGGGGGCTATCGTGTTTAGAGCATTACCAGCAATATGGCACAATGAGCGCGCGTTGCCACATCGTCACGACGCGGCGGCGCGAGCTCTTATCTCCCACGCGTACTTTGCCCCGCAGACAGGGAGCAGGGTGGACGCTAGCATGTGCGCTTATCTCGCGGTAAGGGCAATCGTACATCTTGGCTGGCCTTGGGCTTTAACCGGAACAATTTTTTTTTAACCGGAACGGTTTGTGCCGTCGCCACCGTCATTCACGTTTATGTATGTATATATATATACAGGGAAGGATGCGCCAGCGTCCTCTTTCTGAGGAGAAAACATCGCCTTTCCGACCGGGGTCGTCTGCGCGCGCGCTTATGTCGTAAGCGAACAAGAGGGGGGGGGGGGGGGGGGGGCTTACAGTTTCCGTGCTATCGCGGCAACGATCAGCGTGCACCTTATGCCTCCACAGCAGGCGGGAGCTTCTACAGGCTGCGCTCTCAACATGAAACAACAACAAAAAATTGCCCGCAGCTTCCCTCGGGGGAACACTGAGGAGGATGCGGAGCCGCTACCTTAGCGCGCTTGCGCTCGCGGGCAGCATCGGGATCGGCCTCTCGTCGCCGACGCTTGCACTCGGCTTCCCGTTTTCGAAAGTCCGGGTCCTCTTGTCGACGCTTACGTTTCAAAGCGGCCGAATCCGGTGCTGCTGCTCGACGCTGACGTCTCTCAGCGGCTTCACGTTCTCTAAGTTGAGCATCTTCCGCTCGACGCCGACGTTTACGTTCGGCGTCGCGAGCTCTTCTCCGCGCTGCCTTGTCTTCGGACGACGACTTGGTTGCGGTTCCGCCAACACTTTGGCCGGCGCTGGTCGAAGGGACGTCGATCATTGCGACCTCGGACGTCGACGCGCCGTACAAACCAACCGACGAGCGGCAACTGAGCGAGCGAGCACCGACCTTGAGTATATATACAGCGCGACGGCGCATGCACTGTCAGCTGTCGAATGTTCGAGAAGGGGGAGAAGCGCAACGGCGCATGCGCGCGCGTCAGCTGCCGATGTTCTCGAAGCGCGACGGCGCATGCGCGCGCGTCAGCTGCCGATGTTCTCGAAGCGTGACGGCGCATGCGCGCTACATTATACAGCTAGCGAATGTTCGTGAAGAGGAGAAGCGCACGCGGTGTGTAAAGGAGGAAGGGTGCACAGATGGTGGAGGAGTGAAGCGCGCGCGGTGTGTAGAGGAGGAAGGGATGCACAGATGGTGGAAGAAGGAGGAGGAAGCTTGCGGACGGCGCCGCACTACAAGCCTCGAGTATTAGATGCTCCGCATCTGAAAAAAAACCGTGCCAGAACTGTACCTGGAGCGGCCGTGTTCCCTTAATGCACGTTTACACTAGAGAGACACGACACCGATCTTGGTCTGCCGAGTGTATTTGGGAGCGCCTTTTTTTTTAAAAAGACGATAGTCTTTCTTGGGGACCTTTGATGCAAAAACTTGGATCTGTCTGTCTGTACATTTCCCTGTCTGTCCACCCTCAACGGTACCGGGCACTCTGAACGGCACCAGCCGATACCCCAAACGGCCGACCCCATCCGCAGCACCCACCAATGTTGCTCGAAATTCAGCGTTCATAGTTGTGCGATTGTCAATTAAAAAGCAATCATTGCGCATATCTGAGGCACCATAACAACACGTATATATTCTGTATGTGGGTCTTTTACTGGAAAAGGTATACATAAGTCATTCTAAAGACCGTAGCGTTTATCACGCTTCGCTGACCATGCAACGCTTGCACGAAAAGGCGAGTGTTTCCAACGCTTTGCTAAGACGACGCGCTGGTGGCACCTACACGTCGCCTTGCGTTCTACACCTTATCACCTCTGAGACGGGCACGCACGCCCGTCTCGGAGCCACGCGCTTCGTTTTCCAAGAAAACTGCCAGATAGCGCATGTCTCACGTGTGACGTGACTTGATGCGCTCGTTCGTCTCCGCTGCACGCTCGAGGCACTCTAACGCAGCGCCTCCATAGTACCATTCACCGATTTCTTGCGCAGAACACGAAATAAATGTTTTGTTCACTCTCTCCACACGCAAGACTATCGGTTTTCGACGACATTTGCAGATTAACATGCAGATACGGGGCCAATTTTTTGTCTTGACGTCGTCATAACGTTACGAGTAACTTATTTATTAAATTATATACGATGGACCGTGCTCAGCGAACAAGATGGCGAAAGTTCATCAACAACCAGCAAGCGACGTCGTCTTTCATTTTCATACAGCAAGGCTGTGCCGGCTGTTGTGTATCAATATTTACACTACAACGACACAAACAGTCCTCCGATAGTACCTGGAATACTGGATCCGTCGGCGCCTTGTCGTGCTCACAGCCTTTCGTTGGTCAATTCTGTAGTCATACTGGAGGCACAGGCAGCGACTAAACTTTCACACCTGCACCTCAATTTTAGCCATGCTCCCTGCTCTGTCACTGTCCTTCTCCTACTATAGGGCACAGCCCCCACCATATCCCACGGCGTCGAGGAACGGGGATGGGTATACACAAAAGGGAAGCGAAGAAAGGCTTAAGTGGAGTGCGCAAGATGCCTATTCAAACCCTGTGGAAGCCTCGGAGGGGGCATTTTATCTCCCCCAAGATGTCCCCCTTCGTGGTCGTTGGAAGCGAATAGGGGCAAGTTTTCGCTCAGCCACAGATCTCTCGACGACAGGTCTGCCGATGCGTTTTGCTCGTGTTTTCGGTTTGTCATTACGTTACACAACGACGACATGCTGTGTTTTGGGGCGTCGTCGTCGGCATAGTGTGACTGTTGTGTCGGCGAGCGGCGTCCGACGGCCCGACGGCCCGACGACTGAACGCGAGACGCAACGTGCGCCGGCACGCGCCCTCGACACGCGCAGTAGAAGTGAGTTGACCGGATCCCGCGGAAGCCCAACAAAGACTGAGCCGGCCAGCGGCCGTTTATTGAACGACACACAACGGACACGCGGACACACGTCATTGGCTGCATGCAATCACGCGTGTGCCGTTACAGACGACATCTGTTGACAGAGTACACACTAAGGCACACTCAGTGCGCGCGCCACTCACAGGTGGCGCCATGACACCACAGTGATCAAGTGGTGCAATGGCTCCATTTTCACAACAAGAGTGGGAAAGGGCTGAGAAAAGGGTTCCTAGTAGTACATCAACAGGCCCAGATGGCATTCCAATTAGGCTGATAAAAACATTAGGTCCGAAGTCTAAGCAGGCTTTGAGAGAGGCAGTGAGTACAATAATAATCGATGGTAAAGTTCCCGATGGATGGAAACTTAGCAGGATGAGCATGATCTATAAAGGAAAGGGGGACAAAGCTGACATAAACAACTACCGTCCTATAACAGTGACATCAGTGGTCTACAGGCTGGCGATGCAGATTATAAAGGAAAGACTGCAGGCGTGGATAGAGGATGAGGGGGTGCTGGGGGAACTGCAGAATGGGTTTCGGAAACACAGGAGGTTGGAAGACAATCTGTTCTCACTGACGCAGTGCATCGAAATAGCAGAAAAAGAACACAGGCCCCTGTGGCTAGCATTTTTGGATATCAGGGGAGCGTACGATAGCGTGGTTCAAGAGGAATTGTGGGGAATACTGGACACACTAGGCGTGGAACATGTAGTCACAAATCTTTTAAAGGGTGTCTATAAAGGTAACAAGGTAGTTATAAAGTGGGAAAAACAGGTATCCAAGCCTGTAGAGGTAAAACGGGGGCTTAGGCAGGGGTGCCCCCTGTCACCCTTATTATTCATGATGTACCTACAAGGATTAGAGGCAAAATTAGAGGGAAGTGGACTGGGCTTCAACCTCTCTTTAGTCAAACAAGGAAAACTTATTGATCAGGCACTACCAGCATTAATGTACGCAGATGATATAGTGCTAATGGCCAACAACAAGGAAGATTTGCAGAGATTGATGGACATCTGCGGTAATGAGGGAGATAGGTTAGATTTTAGATTCAGTAGGGAAAAATCAGCAGTCATGATTTTCAATGACAACGAAGGTAGTGAGCTTAGAATACAGGAGGTCACGCTAGAGATAACAGATAAATACAAATATCTGGGCGTATGGATAAGCAATGGGACCGAGTATCTGAGGGAACACGAAATATACGTGACGACTAAAGGTAACAGGAATGCAGCAGTCATGAAAAATAGGGCACTGTGGAATTACAATAGGTATGATGTTGTGAGAGGAATATGGAAAGGGGTCATGGTTCCTGGGCTGACGTTCAGCAATGCG